TGCTTGAGGGTGGGATTAATACAAACATCTTTTGGTGGGGGGGTGCATTTTATGACAGGCCTGGTTTATCATCCGAGTCAGAAATAAAACAAATATGGAGTGAGGGCTAGTCCTGCAATTGTCCAACACATTTACATACACACAGTAATTAATAATACATGTTGAATTAAATAAAGAAATAAAGTGACATATTATCCATACTAAAATGGTGTACATTGTCACACATAAAATAGACATTCATTTAGAAGATTAGAGTCCAGTGACATGGTAAGCAATCAAAGTCAGTGTGAACAACATGTCATATTCATCTTTAACCCTTGTGTTGTGTTCGAAAGCTGTTACCGTTCATGGTGTTCGCGGGTCAATTTTGACCCATGATTTATCTCCATCTCCAAAACACTCAAATAATGACCAAACAATCCTGTTGTAATTTAAAGGTTATGATGGAGTTAAAACAATTGGATGATAGTCATTATTTTGGAGTGTTTTGGACTGAGATAAATCATGGGTCAAAATTGACACGCGAACACCATGAACGGTAACAGCTTTCGAACACAACACAAGGGTTAAAGATGAATATGACATGTTGTTCACACTGACTTTGATTGCTTACCATGTCACTGGACTCTAATCTTCTAAAATTAATGTTTATTTTATGTGTGATAATGTACACAATTTTAGTATGGATAATATGTCACTTCTTTATTTAATTCAACATGTATTATTAATTACTGTGTGTATGTAAATGTGTTGGACAATTGCAGGACTAGCCCTCACTCCATATTTGTTTTATTTCTGACTCGGATGATAAACCAGGCCTGTCATAAAATGCACCCCCCCCCCAAAAGATGTTTCTATTAATCCCACCCTCAAGCATTTCTCAGGGTATAGTTGTAGGACTAGTACCAATGAATGGAGCAAGTTTCATGAATGTGACACTTTTATTTTGTAAGATAGCAAGGGGTGCATAACGTGGCAAAAATATGCTGACAAAGACTATGTAACATTTGTAAACATATATTTTGATTATTATATGACAAATATGTAAAATTAAACAATACATTTTAAAGCATGTGTATTCAGACAGGACGTAACAATAATAAGAAAAACAAAAACTGAAAAGGAAGTGACGAATGAATTTCGACACCACTTCCATCAAATACGGAGCGAAAAGTTTAACCACAAGAATCAAGACTATATGAGCTACCACTAAACAACTCACAGTCTGAAAATTACCATTAATAAAAACCCTGAACGTTTACATTTCGTTTTAAACATCGTTTTAAGGTGTAAACGTGTCATTTAGAAATGCGCGTTCCCGTGACAAGGGGGGCATTTCATGATGGGGTGCATAATTTGACACAACACCGGTACTGCGGTCAACTCAGCCGTCTCTCACGTTTGCTTTGTCAAATCAGCAGCTCAATTAATCGTGCCCGAGAAGCGGCACTGAAGCTAGTATAGGCAACAAGAGTAAAATAATGCATGCTTTTTCTGCTTTATTTGCGATACAAATAATTTGTACCATAAGTTCTTAATAAAACTGACACTGTTTGACTCAGTCCTAGTTTGACTGCTGCCAACAATAAAATGAAGTACTTTGAATGTGTACTTTTCGGGTAATAGTGTGATGTGAATGCGCCTGCATGGGCACTGATTAACTGAACTGGGAACAGGTGTGTTAATCAGCATAGAGACAGGGTGTATATGAACTATGAATTATTGTACTCAGGACAGGAGTTTAACCAAGTATTATTCAAAAAGTACAGAGTAAAAATACTTGATTGTACTTGTGCCAAGTAGTACTGAGTCCAACAATATAAATTTCATGTAGAACTTATGGTAACAAATCATTTTATTCCTCAACATATATAGCAAAATACATGAATGATTGTACTCAGGATGGGAGTTTGACAGAGTATTACTCAAAAAGTACACCTTAAAAGTAGTTCATTGTATTTGTGGTAGTAGTCTAACAAGTACTGAGTCCAACAGTACAAATTGTATTAAGAACTTATGGCTAAAAATCATTTTATCCCTCATCCAATATACCAGAAGTGGCTTGAATTTCTTCTCAGGAGGGACTTTGACAGAGAATAACTGAAAAAGTACAGAGTAAAAGTACTTCATTGTATTGTTGGTAGCAGTCAAACAAGTAGCCTACTGAGTCCAACAGTGTCAGTTTTATTAAGAACTTATGGTAAAACATTTGACCAAGCAAACGCGAGAGACGGCTGAGTTGACCGCAGTGTTCCCCTGCAATTAACTACAGGGGTCCCTCAGGGCTCTGTTCTTGGTCCCCTCCTCCATCAGGAGGATACGTCCCCATCTGACCCAGAAAGCGACGCAGATTCTGGCCCAGGCTCTCGTCATCTCACGCCTAGACTACTGCGACTCCCTCCTGGCTGGTCTACCTGCATGTGCCATCCGACCTCTGCAGCTCATCCAGAATGCAGCGGCTCGCCTGGTCTTCAACCTTCCAAAATGTTCCCACACCACGCCGCTCCTCCGCTCACTTCACTGGCTTCCAGTTACTGCTAGAATCCACTTCAAGACAATGGTACTTGCGGACCATGCTGTGAATGGATCTGGCCCTTCCTACATCCAGGACATGGTTAAACTGTACACCCCAGCACGTGCACTCCGCTCTGCATCGGCCAAACGGCTCGCTGCACCAGCACTGTGAGGGGGACCCAAGTTCCCATCAGCAAAAACATGTCGGTTTGCTATCCTGGCTCCAAAATGGTTGAATGAGCTCCCCATTGAAATCAGGACTGCAGATAGCTTACACATCTTCCGGCGCAGACTGAAAACTCATCTCTTTCGACTCCGCTTCGAGCGATAGAAGCCCTAACAAAGAATTGCTAACAAAGCACTTATATACTAATAAAGGACTGGCTTATCTAAAGCGAGTTGAGTAGCACTTGAAATGTTTTAGTTCTATGAAACCTGATGTACTTATATGATTCTGTTTTCTTCAAGTTTGTATCTTGTTGGTCGAATGCACTTATTGTAAGTCGCTTTGGATAAAAGCGTCAGCAAAATGAAATGTAATGTAATGTAATAATTCCGCAGTTGTACTGTGTCCATTCAATAATATTTAAGGTCATCTTAATTTAGATTGATGTTATATGACTTCAGCAGATGACACCCTGCTTTTATTTCTGGTCCTGAAAATATTTTTAAGTAGAATATTTAATTCATTTGTTGTAAGATTCAAGTTTAACAACACATGAAAATTACACATGGATGTACTTAAACATTAGTGATAAGAGAGAGCTTTGTGGTTTACCATGATGTTCATACTATATTTATTGGAACCAATTTGTATTAACAAAGATAAAACTAGAATGATTCCAGAAGTATAACCAAACCCAAAGATCATTAAAAAGTAATATGGGAAATATTGACTTGGTAATGTTTTGACTTTTGTGAATGAATGTGAATAAGGTTACTTTTATATATAATATCTCACAGAAATGTAATCAGAAGACATGTCACTTTTGTAATACACACATTAATCTTTATTATTTTAAAATGTTAAAACCATCGACACAAGCAAAAACAGGTTGATGTTGAAACATGTCCTGAGAGCCAGAGAGCAGACTGAGAGCAGTGTGAGAGAGAAAGCAGAGTCCCAGTGAGTCAGCTCAGGACTGGGAACACTGGTCTCTCCTCAGTGTCTCTGAGAGCGCTGTCTGGGAGCCCTGGGTGGCCTCACAGGTCACAGAGCCCACCTTCCTCCACTGATCTGCAGAGAGCCTCAGGGTGCTGCTCCAGCTGTAGTGGGCGTCCTTCTCCAGCACCCCGGGGCTCCTGCTCTCCTCCCAGCTGCTGCTGCTGCTGCTGCCGTCCACCTTCCAGGCCAGACTCCAGTCTGAGGGGAAGCCCTTGTTGGCCAGGCACATGAGCGTGGCCTTCCCCTGCTGCAGCTCTTCTGTGGAGGGGGGCAGCACCGTCAGGGTGGGACGGGCATCACCTAGGAGACACCAATCAGATTAGAGGACAGGGAGCACACAGCTGTCGATCAACCAGCAGACACTGGGACACCTTTACTGTGAGAGTGTTTCTCCTTTAAGGAGTTTCTGTCAGATGTTGGTTCTGCTCCATCAGTCTCTCACTCACACATTGTTTCACTTCCCTTTAAGAAGCCTCTCATGCAAATCAGCACGGAGACACTTCATACAGAACCACCTGAAATATGTCACACTACACTGGAAATAAAGTACAGCATTAGGACACATTTTAAATAGTTGTGGTCTGAATCATCCAAAACCTGAACTCTACAAACCATCATTAAATTATTTAGTGGATAAATGAACAAATACGGGAAATGAAACAATCAATTGTGTTTAATGTGAATCTCAATAATTACCCAGTTTTACAAACTTTAAAATAATGTCTGAAAGAATTCAACACATTTTTTAAATATCCATCGTTATCTTTACTCTGTTCAACCGTATTTAAAAACTGTATTCGTAATTTATTTGAAAACAGACGGGAGAATGGAGAAAAAGTTAAGAATAAGTGAATGAAACATTAGCAGTTTCATCATTTCACATTTGAAGCTGTTTAAATGACAGCATGTTGGGAATGTATGAAGACATTTCAGGAAAAGCTGCTCCGACTTAGGCTCAATGATGAAGAGAAATAAAGACATGAATACTAATACTATCTAAACATTACAATTAAAATAATATATATCTATCTCTCAAACATTCTAACACAGAATTAAAACATCATATTTAGTTTTTGTGCAGAAACTTACTTCCAACATCCAGTCTGGTTCCTCCACCGAACGTGTACCACAGTGATACAAAGTCATTGAACCGCCGTACAAAAACCTCTCACTGTAGAGAGACACGGCTCTCTGACTTTGACACAAACAAACTCACCAAACACATCCACGGTTTACCCACTTTATATAATAACTGCTTACAATGTTTGAAACAGATTCACAAACTATGGAGAAGTATTTAATCTTTTTTTATGAGCTGTTATACATTTAAAAAGCAAAATACTCATATTGAATGAAGTACATGTAATGACGTTATTTCTTAAGAAAAACTCTCTAATCAATCGGGCAAAATGTAAATCATTGTCATTTTATAAAGCTTTATTTTAGATTGTTGTGGAGGAAGAGAGCATTGATTCGAGTGGGAGTGAATTATAGGACAGTTTTAAATATTCTTTGGAAAGAGCAAGTGAGCCCTGACCCATTCCGGGCGGCAGTGCCCTTGAGCAGGGCACCGAACCCCCAAGTGCTCCCTGGCACATGCTCCTGTGCACCTATGTACTTGTAAGGTGTGTGTGTATAAAGAAAACAGAGTGGAAACTGAATGTTCCCCCAGGGGAGGTCCATCTTCTTCATCTTCTTCTTGGTGATCAATAATCCAGGTCCCTGTTGGAGTCAGTCAGAGCATTTCCATAGAGAGACACTTTGCATCAGCAGCACCATGCTCCAGTGCTCTGGGACACTTTATAGTCCTTAGAGTTGAACACTGGATGACTGACAGCTGTCCTTCATGACAACAGAAGCCACAGGAATCCTCCTCATCAAGAACATGACTTTGATCTGCGTCCTCATCTGGACTCTCCTCTGCTGCTGCTTCACAGGTAAAGTCCAGAGAATCAAAGTCCTCTCCTCTGTGAACATCCGTCCCTCTGAAATGAAGCGGACAAAACCATGACGCTGCTTTATGTCTTTGTCTCTGTATCCTCAGAGTCCAGAGTCCAGGTCACAGTGACTCAGTCTGGAGCAGTGATCTCTGCTCCGGGACGCTCCGTCTCCATCACATGTACGACCAGTCCGAAGGTTTATGGTGGAAACTATTTATTCTGGTACCAACAGAGGGATGGAGGAACTCCTAAACTGCTCATTAAGCATACTAGCACTCGACCATCAGGGATTTCAAACCGTTTTACAGGCAGTGGATCAAACTCTGACTTCACTCTGACCATCAGTGGAGTCCAGACTGATGATGCAGCAGTTTACTACTGTGAGAGTTATCATGAGATCAACAGTCAGTATGTGTTCACACAGTGAAAAAGCGTCGTACAAAAACCTCCCTCAGTCAGACTGAACAGGAACTGAACTGACTGCTGCAGCTGGAAGCTACTGCAGAGACTGATACACTTCACTGAGCACACACACACACACACACACACACACACACACACACACACACACACACACACACACACACACACACACACACACACACACACACACAGACACACACACGCACACACACACACACACACACACACACACACACACACACACACACACACACACACACACACACATACACACACACACACACACACACACACACACACACACACACACACACACACACACACACACACACACTAAGCTGCCAGGCTCCCCTCCTCCTCTTCCTCCACCTTCCTCCACACACAACAAATACTTTCCAAAGGCCCAATTCCAAACCACACCCTACCCACTCCCACTCTGTGACTGAGTGAACTCTGTCTGTAGTCAAACCCACAGATACAGTAAATGAGGGTCCCTTCCTTCAGGAGGAGGGGGTACATACAGCAGCACGCTTTGGGACGAACTCCTCTCATTCCGGAAGAAACAGCAAATGAAACAACGGTTTGAAATCAGCATCTCTTGGACACAAAATAATAAGGCAAGGCAAGTTTATTTATATAGCACTTTTCAGCACGTGACAATTTAAAGTGCTTTACAAAATAAATTAAAAGACATTTTAAGAATAAATACAGTAAAAACACATTATATAATGGCATTTTACAACAGGCATTAAAAGGCAAAGATAATCAAATAAACACAACAGGTATACAATACATGTTTAAATGGCATACTGCAGTGCGAATATGAACAGCTCAATTAAAAGCAGCGGCAAAAAGATATGTTTTCAGTCTCGATTTGAAAATAGTAAGAGTTTCTGCAGACGTGCACGATTCGGGTACTTTGTTCGAGATTGTCGGGGCATAATAGCTAAACGCTGCTTTTCCATGTTTTGTTCTTACTCTCGGAACAGAGAGCAGACCCGACCCAGAAGACCTGAGACTCCTTGATGGTTCATAATTATGTAGGAGATCGTTAATATACTTTGGTCCTAAACCTTTTAGAGATTTAAAAACTAGCAATAGTACTTTGTATTTGTGGTAGTAGTTTAACAAGTTCTGAGTCCAAAAGTACCAATTTTTATTAAGAACTTATGGCTAAAAATCATTTTATCCCTCATCAATTATAGCAGAAGTGGCTTGAATTTGTTCTCAGGAGGGACTTTGACAGAGAATAACTGAAAAAGTACACAGTAAAAGTACTTCATTTTATTGTTGGTAGAACAAACAAGTAGCCTACTGAGTCCATCAGTGTCAGTTTTATTAAGAACTTATGGTAAAACATATTTTTATCGCAAATATAGCACAAAAACATGCACTAGAGAATGCATTTCCTAAAGAAATTGCTAGTGGGAATGCTTTATGCTGAAAAGCTGACGCTGAACTGCTATGCTGAAATGTAATGTGTAAGAAGAAAGTGAAGAATTTAGATTGAAATGATACATGAACACTGGGGGCTTGAATGTGTGATGAGAGAAGAAAAGAAAGTAAAAAGGCTTGGAAAAGCAGCAGAATATTTGAACTGCAAACTTTTGAACTAACTTGATGGCGAATGATCTGTCGCCATGCCAACGGCATTTGATGACATCCCATAATACGCTTAGATGTGTTGATGGCTGCATCGTTACCAAACCTGTGAAGTTTTGGGCCGTTTGGAGCATTTTCACTGAAGTTATGAGAAAACCGTTTTTCATGGTGAGCATTGTGTTGCCATGGCAACGGCATTTGAAGAAATCTCAAAACTGTCCGGTAGATGTCTTCACGGCTGGACTGTTAGCACGCATGTGAAGTTTGAGCACTTTTTGAACATTTTCATAGGAGTTAATTTATAGCGACATCGTCTTTTATGGCGAGGGATGCGTTTCCATGGAAACGGCATATGATGACACCCCATAATTGACGTAGAGCTGTTGAGGGCTGGACCGTTAAACATTATCTGAAGTCTGCTGCTCTGAGCATGTCAGTTGGAGTTATGACATCATCGTGTTCCATGACACAGGTGTTTATATTTGAGCTAACGACGTGTCCAGAGATCAAAGGTTTCCATGGTGATATCATATTAATAAAGAATTTTGTGCGTGGCATAACAGATAGTTGGAATGCTGTATCAGCATTCCCACTAAATAACCTACAGTACAGTGAACATACTAGAACCAAAACCAGGGATTGACATTAAATATTTAGAAATTCACATATTTTCTTGTCAAAGACTTGTATTTACATAACATAGAGTGGGAAGCTTCCCCATTATGTAGGAATTATATAAATAATTCAAATAAATGTGGCAAAGGCTCAAACAACACATTTGTAACAGGTTTGTTAATTGACCAAAAAATATGAACAGTTGGAAGATTGAAAATGGGATTATTATTAGGATTATTTGTAGGTCATTGAAAAGTAGAATCATTTAGAAAGATGTGAACATTGAAGTTTCTATTTTAGAAAAGCTGACACTGTAGTGCATCGCTGGTTTTAAAAGTGATTTATAAGAGTCATGTTTAAAGATGTGCAATACTTGAAATGTTTATAAAGATCCTCTGAGTGTGTGTCATTAGTTAGCTGATAAAATGTTAGGGATAAATACCTTGACATATTGACTACAAGAGCTTGAATCAAACAAGCAACCTTGTATTTGAAAGATTAACTGACATAGCAACAGTCGCACGTGGTATATAAGTGGTGTGGCTGAGTACTTTAAAGGGTTCATGAATAGAGGGGACTTGAATATGAAATAAGAACAAGAAAATAAAAGTCTGAATGCATGAAAAAGCAGCAGAATATTTTAACTGAAAACTTTAGAACTAAAAGCATACGTCACCAATAATGTCTAAAATATGTGGAACATGTTGAAGTCAGTATGAAGTCTCCATCAGACGGAAAAGAATAGGCTGAGACAGTCTGTTAAACTCCAGTGACCACGTCATTAGTCTGCTGCTCTAATTATGTCAATTGGAGTTATGACATCATCGTGTTCCATGACACAAGTGTTTATATTTGAGCTAACGACGTGTCCAGAGATCAAAGGTTTCCATGGTGATTAGTGAGAGGAAAGCATTTTCATTGTTCTGAATGAGAGATAAACCTGTTACATGTGAACGTTTTGTTGGAGAACCGTAACAGATATCGGTGAAATTTCAAAGCGTGACGAATGTCAAGGAACTTGAGCATCTGAAGTGTACTTTTTGTGTACTTTCGGGTTAATAATGTGGCCTTTTTGGCAGATTAACTTAAGGTGTGGGTGTGGTGGGGAAAGGTGAGGCAGAATTTACAATGGATTTTAATGGAGACATGTTGAAAGTTTTTGTCACTTCATGCCCTCAAGAGGCATTTTGTTTAATTATTTAGCTTAATTTTTTTTAATCTTTCAAGCTACGAGATGTTTTCCTACGTTTGTCATGAAAAATGATGTCTCAGGAATGTAGGGTTTGGGAATTATGGCAGGTTTAAAAGAAAATATGAAGGCAAATTTCAAGATTTCCTCCACTCTAGCTGTGACATCACACACTCTAAAATCTGAAGAAGGCCTCTTTACCAAGGTCTGAACAATGTTTAATATCTCTAAAAGTACGAATCAGATTTAAAAGTTGTGTTACACGAATAATGTCAGAAAGATGTGTAACATTTTAAAGTTAGAATGAGGTTTCTGAGTGAAAGTATGAAGGAGCAGTTAGCAGTTGAAGAAGGAGCAGTTAGCAGTTGAAGTTGCATGAAGATTGTTGGAGTCTGAAGAGTTCTCCATTGACTTCCATGTTAAAAATGGGATGTATCTCTGGAATTATGAAAGTTATGAATGATAAAAGTAATAGCCATTGATCAGCCCGACCGAGCTGAACGTTTTGATGTTTGAATGGAGTTTCTGCGATGTTCAATGTGAGAGAAGAAGCAGCGCAAAATAACCCGGCGGAATAATAAAGAATTTCGTGCGTAGCATAACAGATAGTTGAAATGCTGTATCAGCATTCCAACTAAATTATTGTACTCTTGTACTTGGGTCAGTGCCGCTTCTCGACCGATTACCGTAAAGGCGCTATTAATCGCGCACTCAAAAATGAAGAGCTGCTGATTTGACCCCAGTTTTCCCCTGTTCATTTGAAAACAAATGCCGGTGTCGGACATACACAAACACACTGAACACACACACACACACACACACACACACACACACACACACACACACACACACACACACACACACACACACACACACACACACACACACACACACACACACACACACACACACACACACACACACAGAGCAGAGCAGAGCTGAGCAGAGCACAAACACACACGTCATGCGCCTTGTGGCATTGACACAGCTAAGGTGATAAATAGTCTTTGTTTTCATATAATATCAGTTTTAATTCAATCAGCAACAAATCTTTTCATTTAATAATTCCGCAGTTGTACTGTGTCCATTCAATAATATTTAAGGTCATCTTAATTTAGATTGATGTTATATGACTTCGGCAGATGACACCCTGCTTTTATTTCTGGTCCTGAAAATATTTGTAAGTAGAATATTTAATTCATATGTTGTAAGATTCAAGTTAACAACACATGAAAATCACACATGGATGTACTTAAACATTAGTGATAAGAGAGAGCTTTGTGGTTTACCATGATGTTCATACTATATTTATTGGAACCAATTTGTATTAACAAAGATAAAACTAGAATGATTCCAGAAGTATAACCAAACCCAAAGATCATTAAAAAGTAATATGGGAAATATTGACTTGGTAATGTTTTGACTTTTGTGAATGAATGTGAATAAGGTTACTTTTATATATAATATCTCACAGAAATGTAATCAGAAGACATGTCACTTTTATAATACACACATTAATCTTTATTATTTTAAAATGTTGAAACCATCGACACAAGCAAAAACAGGTTGATGTTGAAACATGTCCTGAGAGCCAGAGAGCAGACTGAGAGCAGTGTGAGAGAGAAAGCAGAGTCCCAGTGAGTCAGCTCAGGACTGGGAACACTGGTCTCTCCTCAGTGTCTCTGAGAGCGCAGTCTGGGAGCCCTGGGTGGCCTCACAGGTCACAGAGCCCACCT